CCCCCCCCCCCCCCCCCTCCAAGGTTCTGCCCTGTCCTCTCCCTGTACCCGCCTCCACCGACCACCCTACAGTAACTACCCATGGCAATGTTGCTGCACCTGAGAATGGCCAACACCTGAGGTCCCATGCGTCCTGTGAGCACCGATTCAGACGGTCCCGCTCCTTCTGAAAATCTCTCTTGCCCCTACCCCTTTGTGGGCCCCCTGGCTGCCTCGGAGATGTCCCTGCTCCAGTCGCTGGGTCCAGTACAAAACTGGCTTGGCCAGGAGCTTGAGAAGTGCGGGATCGATGCCATGATCTACACCCGCTACGTCCTCAGCCTTCTCCTGCATGACAGTTACGACTACGACCTGCAGGACCAGGTGGGCTCTCACAGACCTTAAATGAATGTTCCCAGTCAAGTCATTGTTTGTGTTTTGAGTGGTCAAATAAGTGGTCAGTGGGCTTCATCCAGGAAGGGAATCAATATAATGTATATATCAATACAATGGCTTTGTTAGTGGGGGTTAACAGTGGAGCTCTTGCCAATGGCTAAACTGACACATGCCAGGTTCACACAGAGATTCCAGAATTCTGAGCTGGGTGTGTTAAAAAGGGCTATATGCAAGTTAGTTTGTTAATTATTAGGATATGATAACCCCTGTATAGCAATGTTTATAATGATTTATTACATAGTTTGTCATTTTTTTAAACGTTTTTAACGTTTTTTGTTTTAATGTTAAACCATAGTTTTTCCTGTTACTGACTGTTCATGTTTTTTTGCAAAAGGAAAACGACATCTTCTTGGGCTGGGAGAAGGGATCTGGGAAGAAATGGGGCAAGAGTAAGAAGAAAGGAGGGACCGACCTGAGTCTTGAGGAAATGAAGAAGCAAGCTGCTGTGCAATGCCTCCGCTCTGCATCTGATGAAGTAAGCGCCACCACCACTCCGCCCAACTCTTTCTGCTGTACAAAATACTAGTGAACTTCAGTCACTTTGGCTTTAGAGATATGCAAATGAGTCATCACTCACTCATTGAAGCAGGAGCAGTTGCCCCCTCTTATATTAAACTGTAAAATAAACAACCTACGGTACAGGAGGCTTGTCAGGAACCTTTTACTTTTGTATTCTAGGTTGTTTGTATTGGTGCAGTCATGCAGATATTAATTGGATGAATCACTGTGAATAGACACAGAATAAAGCTACGTCGATGTCGAAGGCTGAAGCATTATCAAGGAAACCTCTTTATTGACCGTGTGCATGTTCACCTCATTTGACACCATAGCCACACTTTATTAGAAATGTTATGTTAACGTCGGTGCTGACATGAGACAAAACTCTAAGCTCACTTTTAGTGCATGCATGCAAGAATATCTCCCAGGAGTGTACTCCTTTTATTCCATACCTTTTGTGAGACTGAGCAAGCTACAGAGAGACTTGCTGACATTGCCATCGGTGGCCTGCGGTAGCGAGGGAGATGTGATTTAGTTGAGTGTCTCAACATAAAGCAGGACAAGAGAGGAGGGGGAAAGGAGGAAGGAGGCTCTGCAAGGCAAAAGGCGGCGTGTTGAGCTCCTCTCCGGGGACTAGATTCTGCAGTCTATTTTTTAACCAGCACACTCTGCACAGAATTGCAGCAGTGAGCGTAGTCGGTCAGCTGTCAGCTGACCGGCATTAGCACAATGATGCAAGAGGCAATGAGGGCAGGAGAGAACTTTGCTCGGCTTTTCATGAGGTGGCATGGTAAGTAATATTCTTTTCTGGAAGAGTGAACATAAAGCAAGTGAGCTAAAGGGTCTGACAGGATTGGGGGATGAAGAGCAGGTCCGTTGCAGATGAGATTTGTTTGGAGGCCATTTGCTTCCACGACGCCTTCTTGACCTGAACTTGTTTGTTTTTAACACATCCTGCTTACTGTTAGGGGGAATTCTTTTCTAAACAAGATATTTAGGAAATGTTCAGTGTCATAGAACATGGTGACGCAATCCCTTGTGCTGTTGCTTAGCTCTTTTTGTTATTGTTGTGTTTTTTTTAACAGCATTTCTGCACTACAGCTAAAAATAGCAACGTCATCGACAAGCACGCCTAAGCTCTCACAAGTCAGCTGGCTTGACTTGTGTCAACATCAAGCCTTTCGTTATTCCTTCTGCGTCACTTTAGGGGTCAATGTAGCTTTTCTTAATAAAAAAAACATTGGTTGGATCCCCGGCTCGTTCTCTCTGCGTTCCATAATTGTTGTTTTACAAAGTTAGGAAAGCAACTCTAAAGTAAAGGCTGATGTTGCCTTACACTTAAAAGAATGATCCTACTCACTTCCACACAGTGAGAAATACATCTCATTAATTCATCACTGCTGTCTGATCAGTACTCTGTACGGCTGATGACCAAAGCTTAGGTATTACAATCACAGTGTTTCCGCAGCTATTATATAGAGTCTGTTTTTGTAAACGTCTGTTTTTGTTCAAAATATGTTATTTTGTTAAAATAACATATTTTAATGTCCATTACGTTTACAGAGGAAAAACAGATCCAAAAGAAATCTGATGGCTCTCAGTCTCCAGAGCGAGCTGAGTCCCCCTCGTCAAAGGACCAGGTGGAAATGTAAGCTGATGTCATATGGTGATCTGTGAACATGTGTTATTTATATTTCCACAAAGTGCTATTTGAACTCTCCTGCTCTGAATGCATTTCAATGAAGTTGTCTCTCTATCTCTTGTGACCACAGGTATTATGAAGCCTTTCCTCCTTTGTCAGAGAAACCTGTTTGTCTCCAAGAGATCATGACGGTGTGGAACAAGGCCAAGGCCTGCACATACTCAAGCTCATCATCTTCCGCAGCCCCACAGACCAGCACAGACACCTCTTCCCCAAAAGATTGCAACAGCGAAGGAGAGACTGCAAAGGAGCGACACCTGGAAGCATGTGGCACCATCACTGCTGTGACCAACGAAAGAGGCCAGCGAAGAAACAAGAAGGAAAAAGAAAATCGATGCCATGGTGGTGGTGGTGGTGGTGCAGCAGAGGAGAAACCGTCCGTCCACTCGAGGCGACAGACGAGACACAGATCTGAGGGCAAATACAGACCCAGATCCTGGTCCTCTGGCTCTAGCGAGGCGGGCTCAAGCTCAAGTGGCAACCAGGGTGACTTGAAGTCATCCAGAAGCAAGGCAATTAGAATCATGCACAAATCCAGAGAGGCTTCGAAGAGTAAGAAAACACGCAACAGCGGGCAGGGGAAGCTTCAGGTGAAGGTGATCGACAGAGAGGAGCGGAGAAACGCAGCAGGGATCAGCAGCAGCGCCACTGGAGGCGCTGCCAAACAAACACAGCTTTACAAAAAGGGGAAGAGACCTCTGAAGGAGATTCGTAAAGATCCAGGCTGGAAAGAGGCGAAAGAGTCCGGAGCTGAGGCTACAAACAAAAAGGAATACATGGAAGAGCCACTTTGGTACACTGAGCCCATCACAGAGTATTTTGTACCTTTCAACAGCAGACAAAGCAAGCTGGAAACAAAATATCGGAACAAGGTAGGCTCTCCTGACGACTTTGCTCTGGCAACCGACACACAGAGGCTGCCGGAGAGAATCCAGGGCATCTGCTTTGCCAACGAGAGCTACCAGAGAGCGTACCTAGCAGCAGGCTCGTTCGTGGATGGCCACTTTGTGGAAGGGCTCGGCGAGGAAGAAGATGAAACTGTTGAACTCGTTGGGACCTCCAGCTGCTCTCAGCCAGAGGATAGTAGAGATTTAGATGACAAGCATCTGTCTGAATTCACTCACTTCTATGAAGTTGACATTTATCAATCCATATTGGATACTAGTGCCTCAGACTCTATACAAGAGAGTCGAATCTTAAGCATGATTCGACAAAAAAGCAAAGAGCAAGGAGACGTAGAGGCAGAATGTTGTTTAGTGTTAGATGGCCTTGAGCGGCAAGGGAAAAGTGCAATACGGGCCGACTCGCAGGAACCTGCGGGATCTCTGGGATTCCTAATTGAGGACCTGGAAAGCATGGCTCAAGGGTGGGGATGTTATTCGCCATCTACTTCAGAGGACATCGAGGGGCAAAGCTTTGTGGGAGACTCTCCCGGCCGACTCTCCCCCCTCCTCGATAGTGTTTCATTCACCCTAAGCAAGCTGTCTGGAAATGTGGAGGAGCCCGTCATCTCTGAAGCCACCAGTGAGCCATCCGGTTTAAACTCGTCCTGCTTCTCTCTTTTCGAGCTGCAGTACGACAGCCCCACTTTCCCTTTTACCCGCGACCCGCTCGCCGTCGGTCACGAAAACAACACCGATTCTAGCAGCTGTCTCGACCCGCTTTCTAACAAACAGTCTCGTTTGCTAATATGGACCAAAAATAGTGCCTTTGACGAAACTGAACACTGTTCTAACCTTTCGACGCGAACCTGCAGTCCGTGGTCCCATTCAGAGGAGACTCGGTCCGACAATGAGCAAGGAAGCGTTCCGACGGAGGAGGCCGCTCAAATTGCCAACGAGGAGATCGATTGCATAATCCCTCCTATTTCTGGTACATATCTGGAGGATGAGATCTTGGATTTTTTGCAAGCAAACTCTGGCCGTAAGTGTGATGAGGTCAGCAGCAGCAGCGCAGGACCCAGCAAGACCCTCTCCAAAAAATCCAAACTGGAGTCCATTTGTGGTATCGCATTGGAAGAGGATGACAGTAAGCAGTACTGCACTGGCATGTTTTCGGACAATGCAAGCCAACACAGTGATGACTACAGCTCAGGGATCATAAAGGACATCTGGACGGCTCTCGGAGATGACAAGTCTGCGGCTTCGAAGCCGGGACCCGAAAAAACGAGCGGCGAGGGGCTGTTCTCTGATGAGTCGGGCGGTTACTGCTGCAGTTGTCTGGAAGTGCCGACGAAAGAAGTTCCCATTCGGGGGCCTCAGAAAAAAGCAGTGCAGAGGTCAGAGTATCACCTCTGGGAGGGCAAGAAAGAACAAGACTCGGCCAAAAACAAACTCTCCAAGGTAGACGGCGCTGGGGATTACATGACTCCGTCCAAGCCCTGGGACTTGACCTCCGACAAGGAGAGCACGTCGTTCATCCTCGGAGGGGTGTACGGAGAGCTGAAGACGCTGAGCGGCGATAAGAACTGGGCTGTCGTGCTGCCAAATGACAACCAAGGCAGCCTGCTGCAGTGCGCCGCTGCAGCTGCATCTGTTTCCAGCTCCGATATGCTCACCATCACCGGCACGGACGTGTTCATGAACACCGGCAGCTGCTTCGCCCCCGGGCACAGGCCCCTGTGGAGGCCCCTCGTGTCTTTCGGGCAGAGTGACCAGGCCATCAGAGCAGGCGGAGACGGATTGAACAAGGGATTTTCTTTCATCTTCCATGAAGATTTGCTTGGATCTTGCGGAGGCTTGCAAAGTGAGGAGCACGGTTTGGAGTACCCGTTCGCGTCCTTCAGCCTGAACAATCCCTTCTCTCAAGTCCTCCACGTCGAGTGTTCTTTTGAGCCTGAGGACATGGCTTCGTTCAGTCCGGGGTTCAAGCCCAAATCCATTCTTTGCTCGGACTCCGAGAACGAAGCCTTCCACCCGCGAATATATGGCATCAACCGGACGCAGTACAGGGCCATCCGCATTTCCCCCAGGACTCACTTCCGACCGATATCGGCCTCGGAGTTATCTCCTGGTGGAGTGAGTGATTCAGAAGCGGAGACCGACAAAGAGCAGGCGAGTTTTCCCGTCCAGGCGCCGATGGACGCCTTCGATGATCCCCAGGCCGATCTCAAACCTCTGGAAGAGGATGCGGAATGTGAGGGCCCTTATTACGGGAAGTCAGAACTGGAATCTGGTAAATTCTTACCCAGATTAAAGAAGTCTGGCATGGAGAAAAGTGCCCAGACCTCTCTGGATTCACAGGAGGGCTCCGTTACCCTCCCGCCAATTGCAGAGCAGGAGATTTGCTTGGACTGCGAGGCGGCAGCGGCCGCACCCACTGCAGGTGGAGAGACGGCCGTCTCCGTCGGCAAGGTCCAGAAAGAGCAATCTGCAGGAGAAAAGGAGTCGTGTTCATCGGCACCAAGAGGTCACATCCCCAAGTATGGGATTGCTTATGGCTTTGTTGGAGATGTGCCAGAGGTGAGGATTTTCTTAAATTGATCTCTCAAGCTTCTCCATATTTTGTAATCAGTGAGACTTTTAACTAAAGCGCTGTCCTAACCACACGGGTTCATGATCTGTGTTCCCCCTGGGATGTTTCGGGCAGTGGTTACATGAAACTCACTGAGCACTTCTCATTTGTCTCGTTCAGTTCCCCCTCAGCCAGCAGGACGAGTGCTGGTGGCAGAACACGCTCTGTTCCCCCCTGTTCCCTGGATCTCAGTGCACAGGTAAACCGCCTTTCAAGGATTGTCCTTTCAATTTATCCCCTGTTTAATTCACACGCTGCATCAAATGCATTCCTACGTGTGCTTTCCATGACGAGTGTTTGAATATGATGCGCAAAATGGCTGTTTGAAACCCAATCAAACGTTTTCCTCGCCGCATTAGCACGTAAAAAAATGATACGTTAGCCGCACCGTTGCATAAGCTGCGGGGTTCAAAGCGTGAGAAAAAAGTAGCGGCTTTCAGTCCGGAATTTACGGTATCCAATATTTGTTGTTTCTATTCACCAGCAAAGACCGGGAGCACTGCCTCAGCAACTGAATCTTATATCAGTTGTTGTGCAAGTATTACATGCATGCATTCCAGTTGATTACATTAAATACAATCATAATTGCATTTATGTTACTCAATTAGTTTTAATATTAGTGGTTTTACTATAGTCTATTAATTAGTTTCAGAATCATGGCTGTACACTAAACTCTATCAATTTATGAACCGGGTCGTCAGTTTATTTCTAATATCCTACACTTCCCACAGCCGTCGGGAGCAGATGACTACTGCCTGATCGGTGGGTACGTTCTTTTCACGAGTCAGTCATTGACGTGTTCACCCCATTAATTGTAAATTATCTTCGACCGCAGGGGACTGCTAGCGGGATTAAGGAGGAACGTTGCAGTTTTGCCTTCCGTCAATCGTCCCATCTAAACACGGCACGAACATCGATTGACGCGGTTTTGCATCCGACGCCTTCCTGGGGTCGGTTTCAAGTAGAAGGTTTAACCAACTCCGAGTCAAACCCTAAACCTTGAGTTGATTTACCCTGATATGGGAAACTCTGCGTTTTGGGTTTCAGAACAGCGGTTTTGAGTTGGTTCAATCAACTCAGTAGGTTGACTGAGTTGAGCACCACCACAGTATGAAGGCAGCATTAATGGAGCCATGATACCACGAGTTACCATGGCAACAACCACAAACAATCTGTATGCTTAATCCCTATTGAGCTGTGAATATTAATGCAAGCGTACGACGAGTATGAACCCGCAATTAGAAAAACCGACAAACTGCGTGGGAGAAAATTGCTGCAAGTTCCAATATAGTGTTGTCAGTGTAGCGACACGAGGCGTGATGTATGGGTGAGGGCAGTTTAAATATTCTAATGTTGCCAGACAACACCACCCTGGGAATAGTTTAATATTCTCAACCCAACAAAGAAAAAGGGGAGGCACTCCGGTTCGTCGCAAATGAGGCAGAGACGCAATTTACAGTACAAAATGTAATTTTATTACATTAGCCGTTTAAAAACAACGCTACAATAGTCACTCTGGGACGAGCAACAGGGGAACCAATCAGGGCGGGGACTTACGATGGACTGTCCAAAGAAAGGGGGACCCAAGGAGCACCACACGTGAAACTAAAAGTGAAGCAAACTCAAACGTGCAAAAACATAACAAAAGAGTGACACCACCACCCGGGACACCAATGACCACCCGCAGACTCAGCACCTGAATGAGGGGAGATGAGAGAAACAGGTTTAAAATAAAAGAAAACAAATACAGAACGAAAATTATTAAATTTAAACAAATAACGGCCCGTCTCTCGTACAGTTAAAATATGTCTTGACCCAAACAAGGTGAACTTCGGCAAAGGCAAAGCATCAGTGGTCTCTGGCAGGTTAGCGGGTGTAGAGCTGCAGCTCAATGATCTTTTGCCCTGCAGAGGAAAAAAATACATAAAAACCTTATGGCTGGAGGAGGGAGGTAAAGCCACTGCGCTACATACCGGTCAGGCAGTTTCGGACAATCAGCGTGGGTCGCAGGGATCAACGCTACCACGAGAGTTACCAGCGGCGGACATTGAGTGCATCAGGTGGAGAGCAGCATGCAGCCATACCAGTGGGCTTCTAGGACATAGAAGCGCTTAAATGAGCACTGGATGGACAACCTGGGAGGTAATACAGCTGCTGCCGACAGCCTACCTGTCACCACATGGAGCAGCGTGAAAGATGCCAGGATGTGTCGTAACCCCGGCCTCTGGCAAATGAAAGGCAGGCAGGTGCTCTGAGGCCGCCTTTATACCGCATTGTCATGCAGCGATTGGCTGTGATCCAGACCCAGCTGAAAGATATTAGGACCAATCACTGCATACTGCCACATCAGTTAATATTTAATGTACACACATAATCCATAAGTTTGACTAATTTCCAGTGGGAAAATTACATGTTTCACATTGTTAGAATGCACTACACACTGGCTTGTAATGCACAAAGGATCTGCTCGTATATGAGAGCATTACCACAATGGGGGACGTTAGTTATATAAGGACGGATGAGGTCATGTACATATTTGATGGACTGTGAAGAAAAACAATAGCGTTCAAACAAGCAGTTATCTGGAAATGACAATGTATCTAACGGGGCCTCACTATTCTCTCTCGACATGATTAACACCCTGCAAAGTAAAACCGCTTCTTCATCAACAGGATCGTCCAGAAAAGGACGTGCCATGTTCAAGAAAACACTTTAACGTAACAGATCTTATTTTGTTCATATGTGGAAACTGCCCTTGAATCCGCCTGACAGAGTACTTGAATGAATGAAGAAATTAAAGCGCGCTGTGTGATTGGCTGTGCTGCGTTCAGAGGGAGGAGACTGTGAAAGAAACTCAAGGTTTATTGAAGAAAACCTGCTCCCGACCAGGTGATGTCCACAGGCTCAGTTACCATGGTGACTGACCCTGAGCTTTAGTTACCTCCCTTTGTGAAACAGACAAGCCAGAGTTTCCCTCATCTCAGGTTAACAAACTCCACTGAGTTTCCACTAAAGCCGCTTCTTAAAACAGACCCCTGCGGTTGAGTCAGTGAGAAAGCTTAACACAATGTGAAGAAACAATTCAGGATTTGGTCTGTAGGTGGACCTATAAAGTAAAACTAGAGGCCCTCTATGAAGAGTCATGGCACTTAGAGGTGTGGTGGGAAGGACTCAGAGCTGCTGTACGGAGATGAGTGTCAGTTGTCAGCAGTGAATCAGAGAGTGAAGATGAAGCTTCTACTGAGCAGTCTGCTACTCGCCTCCTTCTGTGTTCTCTCATCTTGGAGTGAGTAACCTTTGTTTTATAGAAGTATGAAGGGAAAATGTTTGCTGAAGATATCAAAAGTACAGCAGCCTTTTTATGATGACTGTTTATTTAGATGTACAATCTTGCAAATAACAGTAGACGTTAAACCAACTCGTGTCAACTGTTTGATGCTGTTTAAATTTGTCAGAAAAAATAAAGCGACCACTATTCGTGGATCTGGATTTTGGTGAAAAGATGAATTTACCTTTCGTTCGGCTTCTGAAGCAACGTGATGTTTGTGGTGTTATGATGAAGAGCCAAATGATGGATCACCTCGTCATAGTAAGCGTAAAGTTCGCCTGTGAAATATGAATGGAGTATTTATACAGGTGCATTGATATAATCATAATGGGAGTGAATGGCCTGCCACACATTTGATTGTATTATGTGACTCAGAATGAATTAGATTATACTAAAGTCATACACAACTCATTAGTGGAGGATAACATTTGAAAATAGCCTTGTATTACTGTGCAAGAGCTGTGAATAGAATGCAAGTCAATGGCCTTGCAGTTGAGAATGTAATAAAATAGGAAATTAATCCAATCACCTCCACAGAATCACACACAATTGTATGTGTGAGATTCCGGGAATCAGGAATCAGGAAACATTTATTAGCCAAAATATGTCAAACATACAAGGAATTTGTCTTGGCGGTTAGTGCGCGACAGTAGACAGACAAGACAACAGTGCACAAGTAATAAAATAAAGTGGAATGAAATGCTAATGCAATGGGTTAGTAGAATAAGGCTAAGGCTATGGGTTAGTATAAAACAAGGGAATAAAGTTTAAAAAAATGTAAATATTAAGTTAAAAAGAAAAATATTAGGCATAAAGTGCACTAACGAACAAGTAACAGACAAGAGACATAGTGACGAGTGACGACAAAGTGATGAATTGCAGTTAAAGTGGCATGTGCAGTATGAAGGAGAGTGACCGGTGCTCTGTTGATGAGCCCGACTGCCGACGGGAAGAAACTGTTCGTGTGGCGGGAGGTCTTAGTCCTGATGGACCTCAGCCTCCTGCCAGATGGAAGGGGCACAAACAGTTTTTGTCCGGGGTGGGAGGGGTCGGCCACGATCTTTTTAGCTCGCTTCAGAGACCTGGAAGCGAACAAGTCCTGCAGGGACGGCAGATTGCAGCTGATCACCCTCTCTGCAGAGCGGATGACCCGCTGAAGCCTGCCCTTGTCCTTGGCTGTGGTTGCAGCGTACCAGACGGTGATGGAGGAGCAGAGGATGGACTCGATGATGGCCGTGTAGAAGTGGACCATCATCGTCTTTGGCAGGTTGAATTTCTTCAGCTGCCTCAGGAAGAACAACCTCTGCTGAGCCTTCTTGGTGATGGAGCTGATGTTCAGCTCCCACTTGAGGTCCTGGGTGATGATGGAGCCCAGGAAACGGAAGGAATCCACAATAGTGACGGGGGAGTCACACAGGGTGATGGGGGAGGGTGGGGCGCTGTTCCTCCGGAAATCCACAACCATCTCCACTGTCTTTAGAGCGCTGAGCTCCAGGTTGTTCTGGCTGCACCACGACACCAGATGGTCAGACTCCCACCTGTAGGCGGACTCGTCCCCACCAGAGATTAGTCCAATGAGGGTGGTGTCATCCGCAAACTTCAGGAGCTTGACGGACTGGTGACTGGAGGTGCAGCTGTTGGTGTACAGGGAGAAGAGCAGAGGGGAAAGAACGCAGCCTTGGGGGGAACCGGTGCTGATGGTCCGAGAGGCTGAGACATGTTTCCCCAGCTTCATGTGCTGCTTCCTGTCAGACAGGAAGTCTGTGATCCACTTGCAGGTGGAGTCGGGCACGTGCAGCTGGGAGAGTTTGTCCTGCAGCAGAGACGGGATGATGGTGTTGAAAGCAGAGCTGAAGTCCACAAACAGGATCCTGGCGTAGGTTCCTGGGGAGTCCAGATGCTGGAGGATGTAGTGGAGGGCCATGTTGACAGCATCGTCCACAGACCTATTGGCTCTGTAGGCGAACTGCAGGGGGTCCAGGAGGGGGTCAGTGAGGGACTTCAGGTGGGTCAGGACTAGCCGTTCAAAAGACTTCATGACTACAGAGGTCAGGGCGACGGGCCTGTAGTCATTGAGTCCTGTGATCCTGGGCTTCTTGGGAACAGGGATGATGGTGGAGGCCTTGAAGCAGGCTGGTACGTGGCATGTCTCCAGCGAGGTGTTGAAGATGTCAGTGAACACCCGAGACAGCTGGTCAGCACAATGCTTCAGGGAGTGAGGGGAGACTGAGTCCGGACCGGCTGCCTTACGGGGATTTAGTCTTCTAAAGAGCCGGTTAACGTCTCTCTCCAGAATAGAGAGGGTCGTTGCTGGTGGGGGAGGGGAAGGTGATATAGTTAAAGAGGCGTGAGCACCTGATGGGCTGGGGGAGGGAGGGGAGGGGGACTGCAGCAGGTTGGTGGAGCTGTGGGGGATGGGATCAGGACATTATCTTTCAAATCTGCAGTAGAACTCATTCAGCTCGTCTGCCAGGCGGAGCTCATTCATGGAGTGGGGGGTTTTGCCTTGTAGTTTGTGAGGTGTTTGAGGCCTCTCCAAACCGAAGCAGAGTCACTTGCTGAGAACTGTTGGTGGAGTTTCTCAGAGTACAGTCGTTTAGCATCTCTCACCGCCTTGCTAAACTTGTATTTTGCCTCTGTGTACAAGTCTTTGTCCCCGCTCCTAAATGCCTGATCCTTCTGCAGGCGTAGTGTTCTGAGTTCCGCTGTGAACCAGGGTTTGTCGTTGTTGTAACTCACCCTGGTGCATGATGGTACATAGCTGTCCTCACAGAAGCCGATGTAGGAAGTTACAGCCTCTGTGAACTCATCCAGACTGTCAGTAGCAGTCCTGAAAACATCCCAGTCTGTGCAGTCAAAGCACGCCCGAAGATCCTCCAGCGCCTCACTGGTCCACTTCTTGAATTCCCTCACTGCAGGTTTGCAGAGCTTTAGTTTCTGCCTGTATGCAGGAATCAGATGGACCATGACGTGGTCAGAGTGTCCCAGTGCAGCACGAAGGACGGCGTGATAAGCCCTGCTTACTGTGGTGTAACAGTGATCCAGCGTGTTCTCCTCTCTGGTGGGGCATTTAATAAACTGTCTGTATTTAGGAAGTTCATGGGTGAGATTTCCTTTGTTAAAGTCCCCGAGGACAATAACTAAAGAGTCCGGGTTGGTCCGCTCCACACGCCGTATCTGGTCGGCGAGTGTCCGCTGTGCCTCGTGCACGTTGCCCGCCGGCGGCATGTAAACACCGACCAGGATGAATGAAGCGAACTCACGGGGGGAATAAAATGGTTTGCAGTTGATGAAGAAAGTTTCCAGATCAGGAGAACAGTGTTTTAGGATCACAGTTACGTCGTTGCACCAGCTGTTGTTGAAGTAGAAGCAGATTCCTCCACCCTTTGTCTTGCCGGAGAGCTCCGTGTCGCGGTCCGCTCGGAGCAGCTGGAAGCCCGTCAGCTGGAGCGCGGAGTCCGGTATCGATCCGCAGAGCCACGTCTCCGTGAAGCACAAGACGGAGGATGTAGAGAAGTCTCTGTCTCTCCTCACCAGCAGCTGAATTTCGTCCAGTTTGTTGCACAGTGAGCGCACGTTGGAGAGAAAGATGCCTGGCAGCGGAGTGCGAGAACCACGCCTGCGGAGTCTCACCAGCGAGCCGGCCCGTTTTCCTCTCCTACGGCGTCTCACCGCGTGACTAAAGGTGAGCGCACCTTTGACTATAATGTCCAATAATTCCACGGAGGCTATGGGTTAGTATAAAACAAGGGAATAAAGTTTAAAAAAATGTAAATATTAAGTTAAAAAGAAAAATATTAGGCATAAAGTGCACTAACGAACAAGTAACAGACAAGAGACATAGTGACGAGTGACGACAAAGTGATGAATTGCAGTTAAAGTGGCATGTGCAGTATGAAGGAGAGTGACCGGTGCTCTGTTGATGAGCCCGACTGCCGACGGGAAGAAACTGTTCGTGTGGCGGGAGGTCTTAGTCCTGATGGACCTCAGCCTCCTGCCAGATGGAAGGGGCACAAACAGTTTTTGTCCGGGGTGGGAGGGGTCGGCCACGATCTTTTTAGCTCGCTTCAGAGACCTGGAAGCGAACAAGTCCTGCAGGGACGGCAGATTGCAGCTGATCACCCTCTCTGCAGAGCGGATGACCCGCTGAAGCCTGCCCTTGTCCTTGGCTGTGGCTGCAGCGTACCAGACGGTGATGGAGGAGCAGAGGATGGACTCGATGATGGCCGTGTAGAAGTGGACCATCATCGTCTTTGGCAGGTTGAATTTCTTCAGCTGCCTCAGGAAGAACAACCTCTGCTGAGCCTTCTTGGTGATGGAGCTGATGTTCAGCTCCCACTTGAGGTCCTGGGTGATGATGGAGCCCAGGAAACGGAAGGAATCCACAATAGTGACGGGGGAGTCACACAGGGTGATGGGGGAGGGTGGGGCGCTGTTCCTCCGGAAATCCACAACCATCTCCACTGTCTTTAGAGCGCTGAGCTCCAGGTTGTTCTGGCTGCACCACGACACCAGATGGTCAGACTCCCACCTGTAGGCGGACTCGTCCCCACCAGAGATTAGTCCAATGAGGGTGGTGTCATCCGCAAACTTCAGGAGCTTGACGGACTGGTGACTGGAGGTGCAGCTGTTGGTGTACAGGGAGAAGAGCAGAGGGGAAAGAACGCAGCCTTGGGGGGAACCGGTGCTGATGGTCCGAGAGGCTGAGACATGTTTCCCCAGCTTCATGTGCTGCTTCCTGTCAGACAGGAAGTCTGTGATCCACTTGCAGGTGGAGTCGGGCACGTGCAGCTGGGAGAGTTTGTCCTGCAGCAGAGACGGGATGATGGTGTTGAAAGCAGAGCTGAAGTCCACAAACAGGATCCTGGCGTAGGTTCCTGGGGAGTCCAGATGCTGGAGGATGTAGTGGAGGGCCATGTTGACAGCATCGTCCACAGACCTATTGGCTCTGTAGGCGAACTGCAGGGGGTCCAGGAGGGGGTCAGTGAGGGACTTCAGGTGGGTCAGGACTAGCCGTTCAAAAGACTTCATGACTACAGAGGTCAGGGCGACGGGCCTGTAGTCATTGAGTCCTGTGATCCTGGGCTTCTTGGGAACAGGGATGATGGTGGAGGCCTTGAAGCAGGCTGGTACGTGGCATGTCTCCAGCGAGGTGTTGAAGATGTCAGTGAACACCCGAGACAGCTGGTCAGCACAATGCTTCAGGGAGTGAGGGGAGACTGAGTCCGGACCGGCTGCCTTACGGGGATTTAGTCTTCTAAAGAGCCGGTTAACGTCTCTCTCCAGAATAGAGAGGGTCGTTGCTGGTGGGGGAGGGGAAGGTGATATAGTTAAAGAGGCGTGAGCACCTGATGGGCTGGGGGAGGGAGGGGAGGGGGACTGCAGCAGGTTGGTGGAGCTGTGGGGGATGGGATCAGGACATTATCTTTCAAATCTGCAGTAGAACTCATTCAGCTCGTCTGCCAGGCGGAGCTCATTCATGGAGTGGGGGGTTTTGCCTTGTAGTTTGTGAGGTGTTTGAGGCCTCTCCAAACCGAAGCAGAGTCACTTGCTGAGAACTGTTGGTGGAGTTTCTCAGAGTACAGTCGTTTAGCATCTCTCACCGCCTTGCTAAACTTGTATTTTGCCTCTGTGTACAAGTC